ATTTGTGAGTTGTCTGCAAATGGTTCAAGGACAGCAATCAGAGATAATTGATGCAGTTTCTTGAGTGTTTGAAGCCTTTCCAAAGAACCTTGGGTGTTAATACTCCTAGCATTCCAACGTAGGACCTTAATCATTAAAAACCTTTGGATTTGGACCTTGTGATGGGCCTGCTAGAGGTTGCAGATGTACTTTTGGTAGTTTGTTGAGTGGTTTGTCTGCTTTGTTTCCTACCTCACGGGGATAGACCTTGTTTTGCTGTAATTTCTAGCACTTCCTCAGGCCATTTATCCTTACAGGTGGAACCAAAGTTTGGAGAAGGCTGATTGTTGTTGTCTTCCTCTTCTTCACCAGATTCATCAATGGACTGATTATCAGAATCCATTTCATCTTCAGAATTCAAAGCCCCATAATCATCTTGAATTGGCCTACCCTGTCTATCCTTATTGACAACCTGTTCCTCTGTTTGTTGACCCTTATCTGAAACCTGATCAACATTCTGTCTCTTTTTTATAGCATCTCTTCTTTTTTTACTCAACTTGCCTCCTGATTTATTATTGAACTTATCTTTCTGTTGACCAGTATCAATGTCTCCATGTTGCCCTGAATTTTTGTGACTTGTAATAGGGGTAGCAGGGGCTCTATAGTCACTACTATGGTCAGCCACATCCTCATGCATAACATGAGTCAAATCCCCCCTCCCTTTAGGCACCCCTTCCTACAAATTAGTAGGTGTCTCCTGTACCCTCCCATCCATACCTCCAACAGCTTCATCAACAACATTATCAAAGGGTTCAGGGGATGGGAGCATTGAGTCAATACCTGGCATAGCTTGACCAGTAGATTTAGTCACTTCCTTTCTTTGAACCTGACCTGTGTTTTTTATAGGAACTGGCAATTCTACTGATTGTGGAATGTTCTTTTTTCCTTTGCCAGAAGTTGTTGGTACAAGCTGTACCCTGCTATCCACCTTACTACCAGTGTGTTGGTTCAACACTTCTGAGCTAGGCATTGGTTCCTGCACATCAAGATCAATATAAGTATTTTGTGTAGTGATAGAAACTATACCTGTTTGTTTGTTGTGTTGTTGATCAGCCTGCTTGGTTGGCTCCTTTAGTGCTTGCTGTTGATTATTGGTCCTCCTTTTTTGTGTATGCCACTGTTCTTCTTGTTGCCTTTGTCCTTGTTCCTGATCCCTTTGCTGATTGTGTCTATTGGTATTATTGTCCTCCCTCTGTCCAGCTGCTTTGTGCCCAGGTGGATGTTGTGCAGTATCAATGTCTTTTTTGGTCTTGTTTCTCACATTTTCCATTTCCTTTCTTTTTTTGTTGTCCTCATCTCTTTGTTTTATGGTGCAATCACTCTCAAGATGCCCTTGATGCTTACAATAGAAACAGTAGTTAGGAATATTGTCATACTCAATTTTCTGCCACCTACCATCAGTGATATCCTCACCTATATTAGTTGAATAGTGACTATTACCAACTGTGATAAAATTTATTGGTAAATTATTAATTACTAATTTATATTTGAATAGTTGGTAAATTTACCAATTGAAGCTAATTTTTTTGGTAAATCAGCGTCTAGTGTTGAGGCTTTCATATTCAGTTTGTGTCGTTAGGCGTTTTAACTTTTAAATTTTAACCAAAACTTGACTTTGGTCAATATTTTTGGTAAACGTGCTCAAATTAGAACTTTGTCAGTGTCATTAGCTTCGAAAGGTCATTTTTTATCTAACAGGAAGGTTGGTTCAAGTTTTGAGGCTTCCGTTTTTTGTTTGTGCCGTTAGGTGTTTTAAATCTTATGTTTTGGCCAAAATTTGACTTTGGTCAATATTTTTGTGAACTTGCTCAGATGAGAATTCCATCAGCGTAATTAACTCCAAAGGTCATTTTTTATCTAATAGGATGGTTGGTTCGGGTTTTGAGGCTTTCATTTTTAGTGTGTGCCGTTAGGTGTTTTGACTTATAAATTTTAGCCAAAATTTAACTTCGGTCAATATATTTGATAAACGTGCTCAGATGAGAATTTCTTCAATGCAGTTAGATGCGGAAGGTCATTTTTATGTAATAAGATAGAGGGTTCGGGTTTTGAGGCTTCCGTTTTTAGTTTGTGCCGTTAGGCATTTTAAATTTTAAGTTTTGGTAAAAAATTCTTTTTAGTCAATATTTTTGGTAATCGTGCTCGAATTAAAATTTTATCATCACGGCTAGCCATATAAGTTCAGTTTTGGTCTCATAGGGTGGTTTGTTCGGGTTTTGAGACTTTTATTTTCAGTTTGTGTCATTAAGCGTTTTCACTTTTAACTTTTGTTTAAAATTTGAACTACGTCAATTTTTTTGGGAAACATGCTCAAATTTGAATTTCGTCAATGCAGTTAGCTCTGAAAAGTCATTTTTCTTGGTTTGGATTTTGATGTTTTCATATTCATTTTGTACCGTTAGGTGTTTTAACTTTTAACTTTTGGCCAACATTTGACTTTGCTTAACATTTTTTGTAAACGTGCTCTGATGAGAATTCCGTCAGCGCGATTAGCTTCAGAAGGCCATTTTTATATCTAATAAGATGGTTGGTTTAGGTTTCCAGGCTTCCAATTTCAGTTTTTATTGTTAGGCATTTTATCTTTTAAGTTTTGTCCAAAATTTAAATTTGGTCAATATTTTTGGTAAACGTGCTCAAATTAAAATTTTCGATATAATGATATGTGTCATATTGTGATTAATTTAACTTGTTATCATAGATTTTGCATTATTTCATTCAAATATGATTTATAAAATTGATATAATATTTTTGGATTTATATTTGTGCTCTTAGATTTTTAAATGCAATAAATTAATAAATATTTTACTATTAAATAATCATTCAGTTAATAATATTTTGAACATATTGTCAATCAATTACTAACCTAACATTGAACTTGAATGATATATTACCAACAAACTAACAATCAATTAGTAAATTTATTAGAAAAAACAAATAATCATACTAATGTATTTAAAATTTATTACCAACAAGGATTGTGGTGGAGTGGTAAGTACTCCTTCATCCTTAACCAAGAGGTCTCAGGTTCGATTCCCCTTGGGTACGGAGTTGCCTTTCTTAGGAAGTGCATTACCCCCCAATGTGGGACTTCCCGGCGTAAATTCGGATTTAGTCGGGCTCCATGTGGGTACCGGACACCGGATGGGAAACAAAATAAAAGTATTTAAAATTTATTGTAAATTACCAACATAAATTTTCTGTTACTACAATTGCCAACCAATTACCAATGTATCTGGAAAAGTGAAGAAACAAATTTACTAACTCCTTTTCAATTCGTTAGTAAAGGTACTAACGAAACACTAACCAAAAATTAGTTGGTGGATTTACCAACAAAAATTTCTGGGCCATGTTTCAAAATTTTGTAACATCTTTGGGTGTTTACCAACTGATTTTTAGTTGGTAATTTTACCAACAAATTAAAATCAGTTGGTAATATTTACCGACGAGCCTTTTAGCAACGGATTAATATAAGTTTGCATTTGGTCGGTAACTCAATTTGCCAACCAATTTGATCAATTTACCAACGAATTTAATATAAGTTGGCATTTTCTTCTCAAACTTCTATACCAATTCTATTACTAACTCTGGCCTTGCTCGGGTGACTTTCTTCCTTCTCAAAAGTAATCATCCAACCTTTTAGGTGGAATTACACTTCTAGTACTAGACGTGGCTTGCCAATGCATAAATCACTCATCACATCCCTTATCAGGATTTGGAATCCTAGAGGCAACACCAATTTCCTTATCACCTTTCACATTGTTGATTGTGTTGTGTATAGGATTGATGGGGTTTTTTTCCCTTTGCAGAGTTTTCCACCATTGAAATGACGTTTCCAATTCCATGTCCTAGAAATGTAGCATTTATGTTATCTTCTCCAGTATTTGAAGATTTCTGCACAAGAAAAGGATAATCACTTGTACATCCACTTGCAAAATCTTCCCAAACATGAGCCAAAAGATAATTATTTTGAAGAAGGAGACGACTTTTGTCACTATTTCTAGCATTACGATCACTAGGTTCATTCCTAGCACGAGACAAAACATTATTTTGAGGAGGATTAAAGAAATGACTTGTTTCACTTGTCATATTTTCACTGCCTAAAGATTGATGAGCGCACTTATGTTCGATACTCAAGGAAGTTTCGCTACTCATCTCTCCATCAGTTAGAGAATGGAAAAGATATTATTAAGGCTATTCGAGTTTCACCGAAATTCTTCTTTTGGAGAAGGCATATAAAGGCATAAATACTTCATGCTACTTTGAAAAAGGTTTTATACTGCAATTATAAATGAATAACCCTAGCTTGGAAGATTTCACCCGATCTCTACTGATGAAGAAGACAAGGGGAAATAAATGAGTCCACGATTTGGACTCATTTAGGGCTTTATTTTAATAGATTTAGTGTCCTCAAATGCATATTTTGTCTCAATAACTGATGTAAATCCTTAAGTTTAAGGTATTTGGAGTTTGAGGCAAAGCATGAACATTACTTGGCAAAAAGGAACAAGGCGGCTGAAAAGACGAAGAAAAGAAGGCCTGATGCACTACAAGAAAAATGGCTTTTAATGAGGGGCAATTCGGTCGCTAAAAGTTAAAATCCGATTGTTAAAGGTCAATTACCACGGGATGAAAACCGGTCGTGACCGATCGCTAAAGGCTCCGTCGTTAAAAGTACACAACCAATTTTGGTCCGGTCGTTAAAGACCATTTAGCGATAGTAACAAATCCGGTCATTATACCTCCTTTAATGACCAGATTTTCCTTTCGCTAATTACCATTTTGGTCATAAAGAGCATCAATAACAACTAATTCGGTCATTAATTGTACGTTACTCTTGATGTTAATAGTTTTAATTGCAAAATTTTGCCTTGGTAACGTTAATTTTAAACAAATATAATCAGATGAAAACTTATATTAAAATTGAAATGATTATTTCATAGTTTTCTCTTATAAATTCACATTCGAACATAAATAATAGTCAATACCCATAAAACATCATTGTTAATTAGAAATAAGTAAAACATTACAATACCTAAAATATATTCATATTACATCTCCTAAAAAACAGAACACAATTGTAGTGAACGGACAAATGGAAACATTTTTTAAGAATCCTCAGAAAAAAAAAATGTTCTTGCACTTCAATTTGTGCTTCAACCTTTTCCACATTCCCTTCTCAATTAGTATTTAGTTCTCAACACCTGAGAGAGAGAGAGATTGTAGATGAGAATACTTTGTTAACATATATACGGTATTTGTAGAATAAGAGTCATGATCAACATAGAGCCTTTAATTAATATGACAATGGTAGAAGAGATTTTAAAAACACTGCGGTAAAAAAACAAATTCTTCTTGAATCATGTAATTAATAGAAACTATCAAATTACCATATGGAAACAATATATATAGAAGTGTGAACTTACACAGACACATGCATATGATTAGACAACATATCGGTACCATATGAATTTTGCAATGATTAGAGCACCATAAAATGCAACAATTGTAAATAAGTTACCTAAGCCTACAAGATGGACAAAAATTATAACTATCTTAAGCTCCTTGTAGAAAGAAGATGAACATCACTGCACTGCTATTTTTGATGTCACAGTGGATAATGCAAGTATGTAAACCTTCATGAAGACATAGCAACCCTTTAGCAATGCCAATAATTATGTCATGTCGCTGTTTCTAATACAAAAATATTAGAGTCAGTACTAGCTTCTAGAACTACTAAACATCTTTCTTCAGTTCAAAATTCGGAAAGGTTAAAAACATTCACCAAGTAAAGAGTTTAGTTTTTCTATGACCACTATGAGAAAGATTGCTTGCCTGTTGACTTATGTTAAATTCTGGCTCAGAATTACAAATTGCTGCTGCTTATAAGTTTTACACTAGAGAAGTTTACGTCCTCCAATGTCCTCAAATGAGGTTCCAATGTTTTGAAGTTACGAGAATCCGTGAGAAATATAAGGAGTTTCAATAACATAATGTCAAAAAATGGAACAAGCACCAGTTGTATCCAATTGTGCCTTCTAAGGTTGATGATACTAGAATGAGCAAAAGGGGTAGGGTAGCATCCGAGGGAAGGCACAAAAAAACTAAGTTATTTATTTTCATCTGCCTAAGCCTTGGTGAACACAGTCACATGATACATGTACGATATTACACATACTGAGGTAAACACCAAAGTTATCAAAAAAGAATGACTGACAAAAAGAACAGCCACAAGTTTGTTGCTGGATGTCGAGAGAAAATTTAAACGTCAGGGACCTTCACTAAAGTTCAAGGTACATTTGAAATTAGAGTTTGTTAAGAAACTAAAAGTCAAAAACACAGTAATACAAATATTGTGACAGTCTCTTGTGGTTTCTCAAACTGACACAGAGATCATCAAACTAGATTTTGGAGAACATAACTGAAAGAATAAATCTGTGGACCCAATTTGAAAATGAAAATGCTTATCCCAAAGCTTACTGGAAACTAAACATCTTTAGTATATTTCGAATATCTCCTGAACTCTAAGATATTAAAACTGATAAGAGCATCCATTACAGTTCGATTTGTTTTAATCTTTGGGTACTGAAAACCAAGGCGGAGCCATAGTCGTGTTTACTAGTTTAGCAAATCCTAGTAACTTTGGATCAAACCTTGTTCTTGCATTAAAAATTTTATCTAGTATGTACGAATAATCTATTCAAAACTCAGTAAACAAATATAATTATGACCCAGTAAAAAGTAATAGAAATTCACTATTAAACCAAGAGATGATGCACATATTATCAGGCTCGAATCATGATACCTTTGAAATTATTTTAGTTCAAGGAGAAAGTGGCAGGTACACCATTTGATTCCAGGTGGAAGGAAATTGTCAGGTCCAAAAATGAAATGTGAATGTATCTGCAACTGCCGAGATCCATGCATCAAAATTAATTGATATTTACTCAAAAAAAAAAGTATAAATAGTAACTGATAACCAGTAATTATCCACAATGTGAAACAACAAGAGAGTAATTTTGATAGGAAAAATCCAATGATAAGTAGAATGATCAACAGCAAAGGAAACATGGTAAGAATAAATACAAATTTGTTAGGTAGCTGGGAAATTCTATTCTGAAGCAAAGTTGGATAACTGAAAATGAAAAAGACAAAGAAATTCCAAAAAGGAGAACCACTATGAAGTTCATTCCTAAGAACAATATGAACACTAATAACAACACCAAAGAAGCTGATAACGAGGAGATAGACAATAGTAATAGGAAGGCGTATTAGTTACGAAGAAAATCAATAGCATTACTGATCCTTGTATGTCTAATGATATGGAATATAACATGGCAAGGGTTCAAGACAAAAAACATAACGACAATGAGGATAAGAATTATTTATTAACAGTTAATCTGTTTGTATACCTTTAGCAATCAAATATAGTTGAGGCATCGACTTGGTTGTGGATATGAACCACAATATTATACCGACAATTATAAGCTTTAAGATTACCTAAAGCTAGAAGCGACAGCCTATATAGGTAATCTTCCGTAAAATGGATTCGTAACCTGGAAAATAAGGCAAGGTTTTGCTACAAGCAAATGTCTAGAAAGATGAAGATTTATGAAGGCTAAAGTAAAAATGCAGAACAAAACTGCTATAGAGGATTGCCATAGAGGGACTAAATTAGACTAGAGACTGGAACTCCATTAATAACATTTAAGATTAACACTTTGCTACCATGGAGGAAGGCAAACAACATAATACCTAACATAGTACTCCCACAAGACGGGGTTGGGAGGGTGCAATGTACACAAACCTTATCCTACTTTTGTGGGGTTGAGGTGTTTCTAATAGACCATTGGCTTAGGAAAATTATTTTTCAGAACAGATTTAAAAGAAATGCAAGAGTAAAAAGTTGTAATGAAACTATTGAAGAAAGAAAGTAAAGGTAGTAAAAATCTACTCTTTCAATTTAGAACACACCACGTCCAAATTTAATTTTTGAACTTACATAAATCTACTCTAACTATTTAACATTACTCTTTTACGAAAATTTCAGCATACTCACTATTAAAGAAACAACAATAGGAAAACTTTTTTTTACCTACAAGGACTAATTCTTATTTCAGTGATTGTGGCCATATAGTACCTTTGTCACACTTCACCTAACTTTTCTCATAATGTTGTCATCATCTTAATTTTTTTTAGAGATAACACAGCGATAAACAGAGGGGCAGTGGCTTCAAAATTTATTATTTTTTCCATAGCCATCAATGTAGTATTTGTTCAGAATAATTTTTGTACGACAATGAAAGTAACCAGCAAAAATAGTGGCAAATAGCGTTTCTAGCAAACAGAACAGTCAAAAAACTTCATAGACAGAGCAACCATAACAACACAAAAATGATAAATAAAATTTTAATCAAAGAGGTAACCTCAAAAATGGCATAAATCAGGAAAGTAGTAGCACAAAACATTAACCATGTAAGCTAGGGAGGCAACAAAAATCAAATCAGAGAAATTATTCAGGGAGACGGTGAAAGAAGAAATTGTACTACAATAATAGAGCCGATTTGATAGAGTAACACAAGATTCATACCCGATTCAATTTTTTCGACCAAAGAACATCAAACGGATGGTCACGAATCGAAAAATACATCAAAGGCTTTGTAGAGGCTAAGTGATAACATAGCTTGTAGCTTCCTATGGAAAACCATGATTTATCCAGCTCGAAGAGAAAATACTTCCCCAAAATCAAAGCTAACTGGATATACAAAGGGTTTTCTTTTCTTTTTGTGTGCGTGGGTGGAGATGGTTATCAATGAAATAAAATAGGAAAAAGTAACCTCTCTTTTATTATTAATAAAATTTCATTATTTTAGAACTCGGCAATAGAATATTATATTTATTAACGACCGGATATTATACTTTTGTTGATATTAAACTAAAATTTAATTTTAACAACCGAAATATATTTTGGTCGCTAGATACACTTGTAGCGACCGGAAATATATCTCTTCGTTAACAAGTGGTCATTAAAGTCATGTTTCTTGTAGTGATGATTGCATAATGCATTAGGCGAGTTGCCGAATGGCGTTAACCTCGCCTAATATTCCAGTGTGCTGAGCCCTGAAGGAAAAGATCAAGTCTGCGAGGAAAGGGAGCAATCGGCGCGTAGCCAAATAGTTTCGCAAAGCAAACACCATATCGCTCAATGATTCAAAACGCAAAGATGCTGAAGGCAATAGCTGAAAGACGATGAACCAGACCAAAGGGTGGATCGCCGAGTGTATCGGTGATCCCGACTAACTGCACCAAGTGATCCTTCGCAACACAAATTTCTGAAAACTATAAATACTCATTTAATTTTGTAGCTTAGTATCAAGCTGTAGAGAATTATTAATGAGACTTAGAATATTTTCAGTTTTTAGTTCTTAAAGTTTTTGGGAGACATTGTTCTTGAGCTTGAAGATTTTGAAGATTTTGAAGGTTTTCAACTCCAAGAAATTGAAAGTGGGTATCCAAGAATCTTCATCTTCGACGTTTTTAAAGTCATTTTCTATCATACCCACTTGATGGAAACACTTGTTGGTATTGATTTATATCTATTTTTCATGTCTAGATAAAACCCCAATTCTTGGGGTGTGATTTTGTGAATATGGATTAAATTTTCTGTTGGGAATTGCTTATTGTTAGAATATTTGTTGTCTAAATGCGAGTTCGTTTAGTAATTTTGTTTGAACTTAATGGGATTGTAGTTGCAAATACGATTTCATCTTAGTGTTTTTGGCTTGTCCGAAAGAGAGGTCGTAAAACTAAGACTACTAAATTGATACCCGGTGGTATTGGGTCGACATAGGTTTAGCTCAAAAGAGTGAACCCTAGTCCTTCTCCCACACATTCAGCTCAGTGAATCCTAGACCTTCTCCCACACATTCAGTTAGAGAGAGTGAATGGGATAAGGCGGTGGTTGTGCTTAAGTGTTGCAATGTGCTTAAATGCTGCAACTCGGTGTTCGAGAGAAACCGAGTTGATTCGAGGTAAGTTGCTCGAGAGAGAATTTACCCCCATTAAAGTCTAGCCTAGTTACAAATATTCAGCGATTTACTATCAATAGCATTTACCCAATAGTATATTTTATCCCATATTCCTATCACATCCCACGATTCCCTATCTCGTATTTTTATATTTTCGCTATTTTTGTCATTAATTGAATACAAACCCCCCATTGTTAATTGACATTCGTGTCACCTTCTTGATTTATTATGTTTTTTTACTTGTTAATGTTTATAGCTATGATTGATTAGAACTTGATTTTACTTTTCTATTAATTCTTGCAACCACTCCCTTGTGACTTGACCCCAATCCATTCGGTTGGATTATATTACTGCACGCGATCATTGACACCTGAATTGGAAGTCGTGTCTTTGATTACGTCAAAACATCAAAATTGCGCCGCTGCCGGGGAGTGGGGGGAGTGGTGTTAGTTGAGAATTTTTAGTTTCATAGAATTTTTGTTCTTCTTAGTTGTAGTTCTACTTACTTAATATTTAGTTTTGTTTTGTTATTTTGTGTGCTGAAACAGGAAAAATGAGTGTAACTGATGAGATTGAGCAAATGGACCACCTTCCAGTAGAAGTGATGATGTTCCGGGATAAGATTCTAACTTTTAGGCAATTGGTAGGTGAACAACTTCATGAGGCGTGGCTGAGATTTAAATCATTTCTGATTTAAATGTCCCACTCTTGAAATTCCCAACGTAGTCCTTCTGGAATGTTTTTACAGAAGTCTTGGCCTAGGGAACAGAATGTTGGCTGATCAAATTGTCCCAGGTAGTCTAGTACGACAACCCTATGTGATAGCAGCCAAATTGCTTGACAACTTAAATGAGCCAAATCAAGCAATAGAAAGGAGAGACTTCAGCTTAGCAGTCCTGCTAACTCAGTTAGATGAGCTAACCAAGAAGATTGGGGATCTTGAAGTCCAGTGCAACAAGAAAGGGCGCTATGTTCCTCCTTATGAACGAAGGGAACTTAAGAACAAGGAAGATGGATAGATCAACGCAATGCTCACACTTCTACTCCAAAAATCCAATGAGCAGCATAGGGTGTTGGAGGAATTGATGGAGAATGTATTGATGCTGAATCAGATGACAACCTCCCATTCCATGCTCATTCATCTACTGGTATCCCAAATGGACCAAGTACTATCTACTCTCTACCAGAGCCAAAAGCGGGGTGTCCTGATGAAACTAAGGTCGACCCCACAAATGGAGTTTGAATAAGGACTTGCATCATGCCACGACGTTAACTAAGGCGCTTCTTGGGAGGCAACCGATGTTTTATCGCTTTAAATCATTTTAGAAATAATGATTTGTTGATTGTACAAGTTAAAGAGTGGAGAGTGTGTGGAAATTGCAGGTTGGCAAGTTACAAGGTCCATTCGGCGCATCGCCGAATAGGTTGGTGTGTCCGATCTAAACTGTTGTTTGACTCAAGATATCTTTAAAATAGAGTCTGTAAAACTTGGTGAGCCCAGGTAATTATTGGCCAGTCGCCGACCAGGTCGACGAACCCGACGTAGACCGTTGTTTGGACCCCTACATTAACTGGAAGGCATGTAAAACTCGGCAAGGTAAGTGAACACTCAGCGTGTCAAAGAGTGGGTCGGCGAGTGTGACTAACATCGCCGAATGAGCGAAGAACTGGATGGTTTATTAAAGCCCAATGGTTTCAAAATCTTCATTTTGCCTCCCTTTCAAGCTTCACAAACTCGCACCTAGTTAGTATTTTCAATATTTCTGCATGCTATAAGTATTTGTAGTTGATTGATTAGTGTTTGGATCTGGATTTCTTTGCCGCCTAGCAATATAGTCTTGGTTTAATAGGCAATAATGGTTGGTTTTCCAAACCCCATATTTAATTTTAATATTTGTACTCTTATGCAATAGATTTTATCCTGATGAAGTGTGCTGGGCCTACCTGATAAGATTAGAATGTTTAAATGTCTAGTTTAAATTATTAATTTTGCTTGTAATGCTTATAGTGTCGATTTCCCTTGTTCATGTGCCTTGAGATTGGTTAAATCTTGTGGGGTTATGCTTGCATGTCATTGATTTTAGTTGGGTGAAGTCTGAGTAGCCCCGTATTTGTGCCAACCGATGTAATTTGCCTAATGATAGAGGGAGTAGCATCGTTCTTAAGGGCAAATGGCGTCAAATAGCCAAATCTGGCAAAACCGGGAGAAGTTTGAGTATCCCGGGGCAATGGGCGTTATGGGTCTTATGTGAATTTGAGTTGTGCATGGTTTGATTTTGTTTTCAAGGGTTGCGGGGTTGTACTCGAGAAGACGGGTTGAACATAGGCACGTTGGGTCATTTGGCGAGCTGGGTCTAGCTCGCCTAACCACTCAGTGGTTCCCTAATGTCCCATTCTCACCTTCTACTTCATGCTTTACTTGTATTTGAGCTCTGTAATTTTTGGCGAGAGGCTGGAGGTCACTGAAACTACTCGGCGATCCGCCAAAAGTCTTTTTGAATCACCCTTTGTCTGCACCCGTGAACTGTGTTGCACTGCTACTTTCGGCAGGCTAACTTGCACTCGCCGAAAGCTATCGGCGATCCACCGAAAGGGTCTTCCCATCGCCGACTTTCTAAAAAAACTAGAGCCAATCCTTTGGGCGAACCCGATCTAGCTTGCCAAATTGATTCGGCGATTCACCGACTAGTTCAGCGAGTCAATCTGCAGCTACTTTATGTTTTGCGAATATGGCTAGACCTAAAGTTGCAGGAAGAGACATGCCACCCCGAAACACGACTTAAGGGATTAAAATAAATGATGGTGCAGCTGCATCTAATAGAAAAGCTACCAAACTTCCCATAACTGGTGGGAAAGGCAAGGGCAAAGAGAAGGCACCTGCATCACAAGAGGTCAGCTCCGACAGTGATGGAATCTACACCACTCACCTCACCAGTCCTAAAAGTGAGGGTGAGCACCAGGAACCCCAGATTGCAGCTTCTGATGATGATGAGCTCGTAGCAGCGCAGAGGGCAAAGCTACGATCTAAAAAGATGAATGATCTATCTAGGATCAGGAACCCTCAACTTACCATTCCTCTAGTTCAAAAGCAGGCTGTAGTCCTAGCACCTCATGTGTAGGGTCCTTCTCCCAAGTCGATTAATAGATTAAAGACTAAGGGATTGAGGACGATTCTTGAGGAGAAGCGTCTGTCCACGAATGGGGTTATCGACAGGTACCCGAAGATAATGCATTGCCTGAAATATCACAAGTTCCAGATGATCACAAAACCCCGTGGCCCGTATATTCCAAGCTGTGTTAGGGAATTCTACAACGTGTACAACGCATTGATACCACAAGGAAAGAAGTCGGCAGCTAACTTCAAGCCGGTTGACTACGTGGTTGTCAGAGGTAGGAAGGTAAAAGTGTGATAGTGCTTCTATCAACACAGTCTTGGGCGTATCCACACGTATTGATGATTATTGCCAGCATATGATTAGAACAAAGAAGCTGGACAATATGAAGAAGTGGTTGGCCCCACTTATTTCAGATGGTACTCCAAAATGGTTAGAGGCAGGGGCTCCAATAGAAAAGAAAGACTTGAATGTAGCAACGAGGTATTGGTTTGGTTTCATCAGTAGCACTATCATGCCCTCCCAAAACAAGTCTATTCTTCGCTTGGCCAAGGCAGCCTGCCTAGGCTGTATCCTTGATGGGACGAGGCTCAATTTCGGGATGATTATAGCACATGAGATGGTCATGAGGACCAAGCAGCGTCAAACTT